TCAGACAAGGCATCTTATCTTGTCAGTGGTACATCTGAGCTTAGAGCTCTTCAAGCAAAGACAGGCAGGATCCAACAGGAACGTGCCTCATGAAGGAGAATTATTCTAACGGGGAGAAGCATTTTTTGTGGTAGAGGGATTAGGGGTTGCAATGACTTTTCAAAGATTCAGTTCAAAGATGATTTGAGCAAATTCTTTGAATCAGTCTGATATCCTGAACTGAATGATATGCCTTTCAAACAGTTTGAAGATTCAGTGGATTTTTGTACATGTGCATGCACAGATAATTCTTACTTCATACTTAGACTGAATCACAGACTCGAATTGGGTCTTGGGTAATTCACACAGCCCATGCAGTTACAGTGCCTGTCATAGCATATGGTACAAGTAGTCCTTGGTCTCTTCTGCAGCTCCTTGTATCTTGTTCAACTTGTTTGCTGGAGGGAATTGTGTGAACCCCCTATTATGTATTATGTAAACATCCTTTTGTAACAGTAAATTTTCTTGACCAGCAAAGTTAAACCTACTAGCTACAGCTTGGACAATTTAACCTTTTATTGTAGCCACTGCTCACCTAATCATTCTGTAGAGAAACCCTGAGGGGGTCACTCAGCTCTTACACTGGGTCAGTGAACATCTACCGATTCTTCCCAGGATGAAGTATATAAGACTGTTTCTCTGTATTTCTATTCCTAACACTGAAAAAGCTGCAAGCTTGTTTCTGAAGGTTATGATGACTCTTATTCTAAAAGATGGAATAGAGGAATGTAGTTTCTCATGCTAGTATCAGAATATTCTCATGACATTCTGTGTTGAGCATATTTTAGGGATTAAGAAGGCTGGCACTAAACCAGAGCTGATTTAATGGAAAGAACCGTTTAATGGAAAGATCCCTCACATCATGTCAAACAAGGGCCCTCAACTGACAAACTTAAAAATGAAGCAGTACATGTGTATTTGTGAAGCAACAATGGATTTCAGCAATCATTTTATCATTAAAAAAAAAAAACTTCAAAACTTTAATACAAAGAGTTTTATATATATTAGGTGTGTAACATTCAGTTCCATTCATGAAATTTGGATGCATTCAATCTGATGAACTGAATCAATCCATCAATTTGATTTGTTAAATCCATTTGAAGCTTTGAATCTCATTCAGAGCATTAATTACTTGAAGAGGCCTAATCAATACTATATATGATTGTTATAAAGTGATATTTATAAATGTTCCATAAAACAATCCAGTAATTTTATATCCAAATTCTATCTCTGTTCCATATATCTGGGGAAACATTAGTTAAACATATGGAACTTGGCAACCAACTGCAAACGTATATGCAAAAAGATGACAGATTCTTAATTTACAATGGATTAGAAGGCATATGTTACATCTGAATTATTTGGTCTCATTTTATTTTGGAAGCAAAGTCTTCAAAGTTCTGAAACAAAGACTGGGGACTGCAAAGGTAAACCTTTTGGTTTATACACAAACCAATTACCCCCAAGGAAAAGCATTAAGATCAACTGACTTCCATTTCTACATCTGTTTCCCTGCAAGAAAGCCCTTTGTGGGCCAGCCAGCAGGCAGGGGTCCAGGGGCTGCTGACTGGTGCCATTTTGTGCTGCGGGTCTGTGGTGTGCGTGTGTGTGTGTGTGTGTATGAGAGAGAGAGCAACTCTGAGAACTATTACACTGAAAAGCAGAATACAATTATGTATAAAACAGCTTTTGTATGTACAATCCATCAGTTGGTCATGGCCAAAGCACCTGAAATTCTTCATTTGTGAACGGCCCATTACAAGGCTTACAGTGCACACACAAGGAAAGCACAGGAAAAAAGCTGTGAAACACTGTGGATGGAACAGAAGTCGGACACTTCTTTATGAAATAAGGCTTTCCTTTCCAAGAAAGGATTTTATGAGTTGGGACCTATGCATTTTGGATTTTAGGGGTATGTGATTTTTTCCAATGTTAATTTGCGTATAGATATTTTGTTGCAGTCAGGTCACAGGGTTGTTATAGAGGCAAGAGTATTAAGTATGTCTTCTGCCTTGAGTTATATATAAAAAAGTGGGAATAATAATAATAATAATAGTAATATGACAAAGTAATAGAAAATGAAGAAGCTAAAGTGCTCTGGGACTTTAGAATTATAATAATAGTAATATGACAAAGTAATAGAAAATGAAGAAGCTAAAGTGCTCTGGGACTTTAGAATTCTTTAGAATTCAAACAGACAAGCACCTGCCACACAACACCCCAGACTTAACAATTGTTGATAAGAAAGACAAAAAAGTCTACATAGTGGACATTGCAATACCAGGAGACAGCAGAACAGAACAGAAAGAACTGGAGAAAATCACAAAATATAAAGACCTGCAAATAGAAGTAGAATGACTATGGCAAAAGTAAACAAAGATAGTACCAATAGTAATAGGCACCTTGGGTGCAATTCCAAACCATCTGGAGCACCACTTGAACATTATCGGCATTGACAAAATCACCATCAGTCAATTGCAAAAGGCAGCTTTACTTGGAACAGTTTATATCTTGCAACGATACCTTTAACACCATCAGACAACTACATCTGCCTATCCCAGGTCCTTGGGAAGGACTTGTTAGGTGGATAAAAATGCCAAATCAAGTCTAAACATGTGGCTGACTGTGCAACCAACCACAATAATAATACTTTCTAGCTGCTTGTCAGTTTCTTAGCATAGGAATAAGCAGTGAAAATATAACACAGAGATAGGGATTTTAAGATTTGATTCAGATTCAGAAACCAAATCTCTGAAGTTGTTTTCTAAATCTAATAGATAAATCAAATTAAATTTTATACTTCTAAATCATTTTTTTTTTTTTTGGTTACATTTATGTCCTACTGTTCATTCAGGAGCTCAAGGAGCTGTACAGGGCTCCTTCTCTGTCTATTTTTCCTCCCAATAACTACCCTGCAAGGTAGTCTGGGCTTAGAGAGAGTGATTGGCCAAAGATCACTCATGGATGAGGGGTGCCTGGGACCCAGGTCTCTCCAGTGCCAGTCCAACATTAGCCATTTGGAATGATTTGGATGTTATTCTGCATGGCCAGAAATATTTTTTTTTCTCTTGGATTGATTTGGTGCAATGATTTGATTCAGGCATCTAGATCAAATTGGATCAATTTTTATGAATCAAATCATAAATGTGGATCAAACTGAATCAAATCAATGACTCAAACTGGGTTTTGCTTGATTAATACATCCCCAGTACAACACAACTTAGCACATTATGTACCATTTCCCACAGAGATGAAAGGTTGCATTACGGAAACATGAGAAACTGGATGGCCCATCTGCATTTTTATTTCCTCCAAATTGTTAAGTCTCTTTTCAAAAAAGCAAGCTGAGCTGTTGGAGAGCCTCCATATTTATCAGTGTCTGGTACAACTCTTGAAATGTCAGACCCCCAAATATATCAATGTCAATGGTACTCTGTGATTGACATTAATGGAGAAGGAATTACGTGGACTCCAGCAGAGTGAAAATGCAGCCTGCTATCCAACATAGTTACCAAAGAAACCTTTAATCTCAGGTCATGTTTGAGGTTACCAGTCGGGTTTGTACAAGCTACATACAGTTAATATTCATTTCATAGAAGCGATATAGCTGCTGCAAGTAGACTATTGCTAGGGACGTTCTTCAGAATAGAACTGTTATTACTTGAGATTCATAGTAACTTCATTTAAAATAAAATAAAAAATTGTTAAAACTCCAAACGTTTGTGATTTATTAACTTCTAGACATTCAAAAATGCAAAATACTTGTTATCGTAAGAATACCTTCATTATATTGCATTTAAGTGTTCTTTAGACTGTATTTCCCATTTTCTCCTTGATAAATATTTTTCTTAAAAAGCCTACTGGATATAATTTTTTATCTTTTCCTTGGGGAGAAAATGAAGAATTCATTCATTTTCTGTATTCTTAAAACTTGGCCTTACAAAAGGCATCACCTCATGCTTGTTCTACGGGAAAAACAATTGGTTTGGTTTAAGCCTAAGACTAATTCTTCAGACGTTAGCCTAACATGATCTTTAAACAGGGCCACTGTATTATTTATGACACTCTTCCTTCTCTATTCAGGGAATTTTTGCTTATTCTTTCTGTGGATGAAGATCAACGCAGTTATTTTAAATATTTGACTCCTGATTCTGAACCAAGTTCTGGTTAAGGAATCCATTTCATTTACGACCTGAGACAGAATACAGATCTCTAGCAGCTGCTATTATGAATATTTTGCTGAACCATCTCTAAATATTCACTTGGGGCAAGCTCTATGCTGTCTTTTACTATTACAAACACAGTGATTTTTCCCTTTGTCTTATAAGAATGTGTTCAGTTTCTGTATAATTCCATCTCTTTATTTATTTATCCTCCCCCAGTATTACAGTCACACCCAACATATTACAATTTCCCATATTATCTAATAAATAATATGGAAGGGCTGAAAAGATTGAGGAGGAAAGAGTGATGGTATAGGAAAGAATGCATAAAATAAATGTTTTTCCCCCTTTTTTCAACCACAATAGGAAGAAGGAAATTAACATCAGGAAGGCATCCCTGTGTTCTTGTCAAGGAAGACCCCCCCCGAGGCCTTCAAAGCTTCTTGACATTAATGACTCTTATTGCGCTCACAATGGCCTGCCTATTCCATGCGCCTGCAAATTGACAGCCTGAGCTGTCTTACAGGAATGAGGTCAAACTCTTAAGAATTCTTAAATAAGGGGATAATTATATGCTCATTCCCTCATTCCATTACATGTAAATCTACCCTCACAGGGATGCACAGGGAGAAAAAGAAGCACTGGTGTCCAAGCTTAACCCAACTTGACATTATTTAAGAAAAAGGCAGCAAGTGAGTACAAACCAAAGCTTTAAAATTGAAACAGACAAGAGATCACAAAATACTGACCAGCCTTATTCAAGGAGAAGTGCGAGAAATGATAAAGATTTCTACTTACTAGAACATCTTTTCCAGCCCACTTGCACTCATCCCGACGACTATGAGATACAGGCCATGCAATCTACGGATGTAAAGTCAAAATCACATTATGTCATTTCATGCTTTAGCAATCCAGAATAGTAATCACAATCCAGAACATGCTTGCTCTTTAGGATTATTTTTTTCTGTAATGAAACTCACTTTATAGATATTGTACCTTCCTTTTTTCACTTCATCATGATAGGGACTGCGGTGTTCATCTCTATGCTATTTGACTTTTCTGGGCTCTTCTAGATTAAGGCCCTATCGACCTAAAAGCCCCAAATCTGATTTCAGTGAAGATAATTATCCAATACAAAGATGAGGTTTCTTTCCCCAAAAATTGTCAGTGGAAGGGAGGCAGGCTGTGAAAATTAAGTAAGAATAGAAGCAATATTGCAATATTGCAAACAAGCAAAAGGTACAAATGGATGTAGAAAAGTGGGAAAGTTTTTGAAGATTAGCCTGAAGATCAAACATTGCTTCTGCCAGTAAGTTTAACCCTTCAGGCAATAGTCTGTTTTTTCCCCCTTACCCTTCCCTGTCCTCTTCCATTCTCCATCCACTTCTATTCCCTGCCTTTTCTTTCTCTCCTTTCCCTAGTCTTTTCTGTTGCTTTTCTTGGAAGGAGGAAACGGAGTATCTGTGTATGTTGTGTGTCTGAGAGCAGTTTGTGCATGAGAGAGAGGATAGCTGATATATGCAAATAATGAAAAATTAATTTCATAAATGAGGTTCTTTATTTTATAAGCAAATAATTTTAAACAATAGCTATTCATTATACCCTGCCCTCCAAAAACTTATAGGCTATAATCTACACCCCTGTCCTTACTTGGAGCGTAGGGTATATATTAGAGGGGTACAGAAGGTTCTAAATATGCGCACATACATATATCCACATAAGTAATTCACATGAAAACATTTATTGAGAGCAAATTTCCAGAATTAAATCCAACTGGAATTGATCAGCCTGGATGGATAAGATAGCAAAACTGGGCATTGTGCAGGATTTTGTTCGGGTTTTTATATATCTATATATCTATATATATGGATATGGATATATATTTCTGTTTGCTTAGAAAGAAGTAGATGGAACAGCAGAGTGGGTGTCATTTTAAATCCAAGATTGTCTTCCTTTCCTAGATGGCCTGGAACATGTTATGTCATAAACAAAGGTATGCACGACACACCATGTTTTGTACCCTAACAACAACAGTAACATTTTATTTATAGTTGGAGACCAGATGGCAAGAATTCAGTACTCAGATAAACAAAAATAAAATTGGCTGGTGTGGGTCTTCCGGGCTGTGTGGCCGTGTTCTGGGGGTTTTGTTTCCTTACA